ATGGCTGCATACCCTTCCATAACGTGAACATTCCTACATTCCTTTAACCATCCCCTTATTTATGACATTCGGTTGGTTTGCAATTTTTTGCTATCATAAACAACAGACAAACATCTCAGAGCTAAAAACTTTCTTTATTCATGACTATGACCTTGGAATACAGATTCGTAAAGGTTGAGTGATTCAATTCAAATGCTAAGTACTAGAAGGAACAGAAATTTCACCTGAGCTTGAGCAGGGGAAGGGAGTATTTGAATATGATGAAGGAGAGGAAAAAGTGCCTTCTTTCTTTTAGAGAATTATAGAGCGGGCCTTCTCCGAGGTTGTGAACAGAGGGAATAGAGGGGCTTCCCAGTAAGATTAAAGCTGTGTTCGAGCTCAAGGTGTTTTGAGTGACAAGAAGGCTGATGGGTAGTTATTGCATGCATTTGGTTGCAGGTGTCACTCAACTCTAACCAGCTTACATTTCCACAACCGTGTTTTTAAACTCAAAATCTGGTCAGAACAGGAGTAGTGAAGGCTTCATGTCCAGTTAGATCTAGGGTCTCAAAGGATGATGTCAGGCCTTCCTGTATCTCTTTTTCTTTCCCATTGAAAATAGGCTTTCTGTGTGCAGGGAGAGGAGGAATGGGCAGGGAGTGAAGGGAGGGGTGGGCAGAGCTGCAGACAGCTCCTGTCTCACTTCATCCTAGCTAGTGATTCCAGAAGAAACAGAGGCATTTTCTCTTTCAGTTTCATGTATCAAATCTCAAGGAAGATCTCTGATTGGTTGGCTTGGGTCACATGCTTGTTCCCTGGGCAAAATTACTGAGCACCATGATTGGTCTGGGTCACATGTCCATTAAAGGAGGGGCCAGGTACTCTCATTGGAACCTACTGGAACCATATTGAATTTGTGAGCAACAGATACCCAAGAGAAAGGGAAGCCCTTTCCAAAATCCAGTGGCAGACAAAACCACAGACATTCACTATCTGTATTCCTTTTGTATTCTGGCAGCTACCATCACATTATTTTCCCCTGGGTCCAGATATGGCTTCAGAATCCTTCTTAACACAGCACTCAGGCAACCATTTCCTGCCAATCCAAGTTAGCCTACAAGATAAAAGCGATTTGCCACTTTTGAGCTTAAAACAAGATGCCAGATCATGGATGAACAAGAGACTAAAGTAGACCAGATTTAAGGAAGGTATAAGCCACAGGTGTTCAGTTCAGAACCTCCATGGGCCCTCTCTGGGAGATACCCGCTCCTGAGAAGGGGTGACTACAGGTATCAGTCTCTCTGACAGTGAGATGGTTGGGTCTGCAATGGAGTATGGGACACTGTGATTCTCGGTTTGCCTACAGGAGGCCAATAGTGTTTTCTTTCCATTACTGTCACTCAAAAGTGAGTTGTGAGTAGGCAGCTCAGATCTCTGGGCTTCATTCATTAGATTTCCACAGGGGGTTAGCTTCAGGAGACATCTGATCCCTCCAACCTGTGTGCTCCATCTCTTGGTCAACAGCCAGCCAGATGGGATGCGCCTGCTAGGCTAGGGTAGACAGGGCTGGGACCAGAGGTCAGAGGACAGACTGGGCTCTTCTGTGGAGGGTCTCATGGCCACATCTCCAAAGTGCAAAGGGCAGAGCAAACCGAGGCATAATCAAGATAGAGACCGCCATCGAGGGGGTCAGCCTGGGTAACAAGGACAGGGCACAGCTGGCCCTGGTACACAGCTTTCAGCAGGCTGTCACATGGGGATTCTGAAACTATGTAAGGGACTGCAGGAGTCTGGCCAGCAGCCCAGGGACCAGGAAGCATGACCCAATGGCCCCGACAGCCTCGCGGACAGTGGGCTCCAAGTTTTTGCCTATCCCGTGGACTTCTTCAGGACTTGAGGCTGGAGTTGGTCCAGCCTGGGCTTCCAACCTCACACCTGGGTCCCCAGGAGCCTGACCCAGGTCCTCAGCAGAGCTGGAATGAGCAAAAGGCTTAATTGGATCAAAACGGAAGCTTGCCGAGTAGGCCGACACCCTCCGCCTAATGCAATCAATTCTCCACCCTGTAAATGGGGTTAGAAGCGTGATTCCGGCAATTATGAGTCCATCATTTCCTCTTCTTCACTAAGTAAATTAGAAAGGCTCTTTGCTCTCACTTTGCCCCGGGACCTCCACTGTAAAGTGCAGCTGTAAAAGCATTGCAAAGGTCTGTTTTTAGAGAAATGTCATGCCTGATGTCTCGTCAGCCAAGGGGCTTGGCTTCCAGCCCCGGCTTTGCTGCCAACCAGACTGTGATCTTTGACAAGGCCAGCGCCCCTCTCTGGGCCTCAGTTTCCCCATCTATAAAATGAGGAGTTTGGACGAGGTGTCCTCTGGGATCCCTTCCAGCTCTCATGGCCACTGGATTCCAGGTTTGCTTGATTGCAAGGAATGGCTCCGTGTAGATGCAACTGTAGCTTCTTCTAAGCCAGGAGCCGTCCCTCTCTATTTCCCACGTGCAATGACCAGTCCCTGAAGGTACAAATATGCCACTATCCACAGCAGTGTGAGGACAGAGGAGGAGCCACATGCCTGCCATTCTGGAACTAAAAATGCTAGCCACACTCTGGGCAGGTCCCGAACTCGTTGTTCCACAGCTGTGATCTCATTGGCCCCTCACGTTAGAATGGCCATTCAGGGCCAGCCGAGTGGGGTGATGGTTAAGAACTGGCTTGGGATACCAGAGGGCCCCGGTTCGGATCCCACATATGAGGGCCAGTTACACTGCCCTCCAAAACAAAACAAAACAAAACAAAACAAAAAAACAAAAACAAGAATGGCCATTCAGCCCATTTCCCAGACCAGAAAACCAAGACGGAGCAAGTAAAGGTGTGCATCCAAGCCTGGTCTGCCTGGCTATAAAGGCCATGCTTAGAGCCACAACTCTCTCAAATCCGAAAATGGGGGGACGTTAGTAGAAAAAGAGAGAACGGCTAGATCAAGAGGCCATCTCAACATGAGGGCGTGCCAGAGAGGACACCTGTGTGGCTAAGCATGCCCAGGCAAATGGCAGATGTCCCCAACTATGTGTGGGCTGGAAGATTCAGCAGGAAGGGGTGCAGTTAGAAGGCATGAAAGGCTTTGCAAAATGTGCTCCAATGATCGTGGCTCTCAAATGGGCTCTTGCTCCCCCAACTCCTCCCTTCCTCTGGAAATGGAATACCAGTTATTTCCTTTGAAGGGAGTGTTGGTGCTGCTTAGAAGCAGCATGAAGTAAATTTTTATGACACTCCTTAGGGGCTGATGGGACACATTCAGTCACCTTGCCCCTGATGACCCAGCTCTGTCTCCCAGGTCTGCCATATTGAAATCCTCAGAATTTACCATTAGAAATGCTAAGTATCATTTTAATTTTTTATAAGATAGATACAGGAAGCCCAAAATATCACTTGCTTTAAGGACTGTCTTTCTAAAAAAAAAAAATTACTGTAGCACCAATGTTATAGAAATGCCCATAATCGTATTACCAAAAACAGGAAATGTTTTTTAAAAATAGTTTCAGTTAGGTTCCTCTGACAGATGCTAACCCTGGAAATCAGTGTTTAATGGCAGTCGTTTCATAGAAACCGCACTGACGTCCCATCAGCATGGTGTCGTCAACATGCCTGAACTTGTTTATCTTTCTCTTAAATACCTCTTCAAGTAATTGGTAAATACATTCTTTTAAAATCCATTGATGGTAACCCTGAGGGTTTCCACTTATCTCAGGAGCTCGAGGATGGATGTCTGCCCAGCTGAGCAGTCCCCGCCGAACCCTGGGTTCCTGGCCAGCACTTACTGGGCACCTACTCTGTGCCAGGCACCCTGGTGACCCTGGAGGCAGAGCCATGGACATGGGGAACCACAATCTAGGGCTTTATCTGTCAGGATGCATCGGACTGGGAAAACACCTTCCAGAATTTCAGTGTTGGCGCCATTTATTAGGACAAGTGCAGGGTGGATGTATTTGGAAGGCTGAAGACAGGTGACCCTGCCCGTGGCCGTGGCCCAGCCATCATCTGCCTTTGCTTCCTCATCAGTGAAGCAGGACAATAACTTCCACTCACAAGGCTGTTGGTGATGACGGAGGCCATTTAGCAGAGCTATGATTAAGAATGAGCTCGTCAGACGAGGCTTGAATCTTGGTTCCACCTGTTTGACTTTGTACAAGTGACTTAATCCAAGCCTCAGTTTACCTCATCTGTAAAACGGCCATAGTAATCGCTTCTTCAGAGGACTGTGGTCAGGGTGCATTTCAAGCGCTCAACACAGTGCCTGGAGCACAGCAAGTGTGTGTTAAGGGAAGATTATGATCTGGTGAAGGTGCCAATGCCAGGCCAAGCCCAGAAGAAGGGCTCGCCTGACAGGCATTTCTCGCCTTTCAAATTCTTTCACACAGGAACCTCACAGGCACCACTTTCCTCCTCCAGTTCTCCCTCAGACGCTCTCCATCTTCCCCCAACAGCAGAGGCTTCTTCTTTCCTCCAAAAGTCTTCGCTGAAATCTTATCAGATGCCCAGCGTGATGCTCAGGTCTCTGGATAGAAAAGAAATCCTAGCAGTAGCCCGCCCTACCCACCATGCACTCCGGGTAACCACAAGCAAACAAGGGATGCCCCAGAGAGAATTAAGTCCAAGTAACAGCTCGAGCTGGCCACAGACGCCTTGTTCCCAAGGCGGCCATGATTAACTGCCAAATGAATTGTGCGGAGGAAAATCTCCCTTCTGACCACGGTGGTCGGGAAGGATCAACGCTGGCACCCTGGAGGCCTGGCTGAGACACTCTGAGAGGCGAAGAAGCTGTGTGGAAGCAGCGGCAGAACATGGGGGGGGGTTTCCAGACCTCTCTCAGGGGCCGCTACAGAGGCCCAGCTCCTCAGCTGCTCCTGCAACCAGTGCCAAAGTGTCCCATCGCAGAACAGGGTTTCTCAGGAGACAGGAATGAAAAGCACCCTTCCCCCATTTTCCAGTGCCCCCCAACACACACACCAACACAAAACCACAGCCTTCCCCAGTGACTCTGATGTGGCTGAACCACTGGTTTCTAAGCCCCTCTTTATTTCTGTCCTATTTTTATGATTCTTTTGTGGTTCCTATTTCTCAGTCTACAGCATGTGGTAATAATATCTTAATTCCATCCACATGATAGGAGAGGGCGACTGAGTTACAGTACCTGCAGCACTCCGAGGTTGGTGGATGAAAGGAATGCAAAATAACCCAGAGAGATCATTCTGTGAAGTCGGACTTCGACAGGCAGTAGAAGAAAAAGTTAGCTGATCCCAGGGAAGGGACCTAGGAAATGACGAGAATGAAATTACTGCATCATTACTAATTATTTTCTTTGAAGTCCTCAATGATTGTTTTCTAACCGTACAGTCCATGCAGAAAACCTTGCTATCTGTAGTTTACAGACAAAACAGACATTTAGCAAAGGCTTGCATTCGTTTTATAAAAATTACAGGATTTGGGGAAGTAAAAGGAGTCTCATCTGCCCTTCCCCCTTAAATCTGATATACGGAAAGCCTGGGCTCATCTGGGACAGTCTTCGTAAGAATTTGGCTTGCATTGGCTCATGCTTCTCAGGGCTGCCTTCCAAACTCTCCCAGCCAGGTGGTTCTCCTCAGCCAGCCCTGGGCAGGGCAGGGCCAGGTCAGCAGCTCCTGGCCCACAGGCTGGGAGGGACCATGTGAATCCTGTTGCTATGGAACTGGTATGGCTCTGTCCATCTCAGCTCCCTACACTGCTGCCACATCCTGCCTGCTGGGTCGGCCCAGTCTATTGAATTCACTCACTCATTCATCAACTATTTCTTGAACCCCTACTATGTGTCATGTATTGCTCCATTGCACAAAACAGATAAAGCACTCCTTTGGGAGAGCAGACTTTCCAGGAAAGGGAGAGACACTAAACAAATGAAAACAAACAGGGTATCAGCTGACGCTAAGTACCAGGAAGGCAGGGAGCAATGCACACAAGGCTGGAGAGTGATGGGGGTGGTGGGAATGGGTGCTATTTTACCCATTGGTATGGGGGAGTGGTCTGGAAAGGCCTCTCCGAGGAGCTGACACCTCAGCAAAGATCTGAAAGAACAGTGTTCCAGGCAGAGGGAACAGCAGGAGCAAAGGCCGTGAGTCTAGAGTTTGCTCAGTGTGTTCCAGGAACAGCAAGGAAGTCAGTAAGCCTGGAACACAGAGGGCGAGAGGAAGGGAAAATGGTAGATGGATCAGAGAGGGGGTTGGGGGCCACAGCTTATGAACAGGTCTCTACCAGGAGCTCTGGCAGAGCTCTTAACCATCAGGTCAATTCACTCAGTCAGCAAAATGCCTGTTGAGTGCCCCACACTCCTGGGCATGTCCCTGCTGGGCTGAAGGGAAGGGCACAAAGCAGTAACAGTTGCAAAAGGTGGTGGGACTTTCATATCATTCTCTTTTTTTCCTTCAAAAGTAATAGTTGCACATTTTAGAGAATATAAAAAACACAGAAAAGATTAATAATGCAAATGCGCAAAAGTAAAGGTAGCAGGTAGCAGGGATTATCATTGTTTCCACCTTTGTATACTACTACTTTAATATGTTTATAATACATAGATCTTTAAAAAGAAACTCAACCAAAAGTGTTTCTCAAAATACAATAAATTGTACCATATACTCTTTTAACTGATGCACAGACTTTGGAACCCAACCTCCATGAGATGAGATGCCACTAGGTCTTTAAAAAGCTCAAACTTTCGAGTCAGTGGAGACCGGACTGGTGCTCTGTCTTTGCCACTACCCACTGTGGGACCTCAGGCAAGTTACACACCATTTCTGAGCCTCAGTTCTCTCATCCTAAATAGGTATCGCATCCATGGGATCTTTGTGAAGAGTACTGGTGACGTGTGCAAAACACCTGGCGCCTGGAAAGTACTAAATAAACAGTGGCTACTCGGAGCTATTAGCAAATAGGCAAATTTGTTTGTTCGATCAACAAATACTGAGCCTCTACCCTGTGCTAGGTGCTTTTCCTATTGTTGGTAACACAGCAATAAACAGGACAAAAAATAACTTATTTAATGTTTATCTTCTTTTCCCAAGTTCCAATTGTCCAAAAAGACAGCACTCAATCTAGAAAACACAGGAACTATGTACTATCCATCTGAATGAAGACAAGATGTCAGAGTCCAGGGCACGTGTTGGAAAGGTGAGCAGAAAGCAGGATGCCAGGACACAGGGCTACCATGGTACAACTTTGCAGCAAACTGCTTGGCTCCCCACAAGTAGACCTGCCTTCTCCCTTTATTACCACCGTCCCTGCTGCACAGACAAAGGCAGGAAGCCCCCACCTCTGGCCAAAACTCTAGTGTCACTGGCTGCCATAGACAGTGGCCTGGCTCAAAATGTACCCCTTGAAGACGGGGCCTCTCTCAGCCCTCAGGATGACCTCATGTTCTTGGGCTTCGGCCACAGAGCTCAGACCAAAACAGTTCTTCCACAGCAGACAGGCGATTCTGTTTCTGACATGCAAGGCTTGAAAGAAAGGCAATTTTTAATAAAAAGCACTGAGAGTCACAATGTCTTCTCTGGTAGCACCGCTTCCCAGCAGAGGAAGTGATAAAGGTTTAAATAAAAGGGAGTCTTATCCCCTCATGGAAATTAACCATTTCTGTAGAAACCAAGGACCGTTCCAGACAGCCATCTGGAGCTGGACTGATAGTAACATCATCATGACAGCCACCACGTGAGCACCTCTGTAGAGATGGACAGGCTCTGGGCTTAGTGCATTTATCACAGCACTCCTGCCAGGCGGGTACCAGTGACCCCACTGTTCAGATGGGGAAGCCACGTCCAAGTCAGAATAGTGGTTTGCCCACCTGGAAAGAGGCCAGGTAGGTTTGGGACCTTTATTTGGGTATGTTTTTACATCATCCTTGACCTGGTTTTAGTCAGTTAGAAACAATGGACAAAGGCTTCCAGAAACGTAAATGGCCAGGATACCTAGCAACGTAGTTCAGGAAACTTGGCTGGTTTAGATGGAGGGCCATGTGGTTGACTGCCTGCTTCTGCTCCCTCTCGCCCTTTCCTCTCAGACTCAGGAACAGCTGGAGCTCGTGGGGCACAATGGCTTCCCACCACAGGGTCACCTTCGAGTGGGATCAGTGAAATGTTTTTTCCAAGTGTAAGAGACCCAATTTGCTAGGAAAATATTTTTTAAATATATATTTAATCGTGGCACGTTATTCTTGGCAGGCCTCCCCCCACTTACTTACCTAATGGAGATGAATTGTCCGTTGGCACAGATTATACAGATAGATCTTACAAAAACACATGCTCACTCGAAAGGGGCCTGCACAGGAGGGGCAGTTTTGGGGGAGTGAAACTCGTGGGCGTCCCAGGGCTGCCGGGCGCACATTCCCACCGGTCCCTCTCCATCCCAAACTCGGCAGAATTCTTGGAATTTTCCTCAGGGTTTGCTTGCTGTGAGGAGAATACTAAGTGGGTCTATTGTGTTGGAGAACGCATTCGAAACCAGCCAAACTCCAGATTTTGAGGTTTTTTAAGAGATACCTTAGAAAGGCAGAAAGAGCTAGTGGCCCGGAGTTTCTGGTTCTGCCTCGCGGGGTGGCCTGGGGAACTCGTCCCCCCTCTCGGGCCTGAGTTTCCCCTTTCGTCAAGCGAGCGGGGTCCCGGCGAGCACCAAGGCGAGACGCCGCAGGCTCCGCTCGGGCGCTTCGGTCTCCCTCGGAGGATGCGCTTCTCCTGGAGCTCCTCGGCTGGGAGTCGGACTCGGGAGGGGCAGCCCGGCCCACACCGCGCTCTGACCCCCCGACGACACCCCTCCCCCCGGGCCGGCCCCCGCGCCCCGCATGCCTTCCGGCCCGCACGCGGCCGCCCCCTCCCCGCGCCGGCGCGTGGAACCCCG